TATTTTCCTGAGCTTTTAGTTCTGCAAAAATCTCTTGTCAGAAGGGTAAGTGTTTAAGATAAACACCAAAAAAGGAACATAATCCACCTTTTCATGAAACTGGACACACTTGATATTGTCAAAGACATTGAGAAGGTGGGCCTGGATGGTGTGGGAGTCAGAGGCCTGGCCCAGGATCTCCAGCAGGGCAGGATCAGAGACAAAGAAGAAACGAGGAAACAGCAGACGCTTCTTCTCCAGATAGCTGTTTGACCACATCATTTTTAAAAAAATCAATACAAAGTATGATCTGACAGACAGTACAATAAACTAGATAGTTAACTGTACAGCATAAAAAGGAAATCAGTCACTTCACTTACCCTCACTACTGATTATGGTTTAAAATCTTCTACCTTTCTTTTGGTGGTTAAGTTAATTAGAACCTAAAAAGAAGGGCCATGGTGGTGTTTTAAGTTTTTTCTACTCACCCTGTTAGAGACTTCTGACAGATCTCCAGCTGTTCGAGGAGATGTGGAAGCAGCTGTCCCATGGTCTCGTCCCCCACGCATGACTGTACCACATTGGGCATTTCATGGGCTCGCATCATGATCTTCACCCATGACTTATCAATGTTAGAGAAACGCTTTGCTTCCTAAAAAGATGGAGTTAGTCAATTATCTCATGATCAGACTGTTTTATTATTTTATTTTGTATTTAGTTGTTTCTTTTAAATGCTTGGACGCTGTTTGGCTCCGATTTTAGAAGTAAGCTCGTAAAACAATCTTACAAAGGCAACATTTCACTATTATTTCTCCTTCTTTTAAATGTCAAAACACTGCGGCCTGAAAACATTGCCTGGATCAGTGATTTATTTTGCTCAAGAGACTGTGAAATATAATAATTGAAAATGGAAATAAAAGAAACTCAACGCCTGGCACATTAATGCACTACTGCACCTAAACATCCAGAATATTGTCCAGAAATCTGATAATGATGTAAAGATACAGAATTTACATAAAAAATTCTAACTGCAAATGAGTAATTTCAGTTCAATGTAACTTGTTTGCCTTTTAAACTGCATTTGGAGTCTGTGTTTAAGCCTGATAACCAATATGAATCACATCCTGAAATGTTGTTCACCTTAGGCAACTGTTTGGCGATATCTCCACCCACAAACACAGCTTCCAGATAGATCCACAGGTTCTGGACAGTCATCCAGTGCTCGATAATATCAGTGGTGTTGGAGAGATTCTGAACCCACTTCTGAATCTGGGCTTTAAATGGGGTGTTGTACCTGAAAAAGAAGGTAAATCTTCACGTTACCCTTACTTAGGGACGCACACGTGTGTGTGGCTCGTGTAATGTCTAGATTTTCCACAGCTGTGGAAGAAGATCATCACTACCGACACTAATGATAATGACACTCAACACTGCCGTACCTGTTGCTCATAAGGGATCCCAAGATCATTAGGCTATCCTCCATGCTGGCAATGATCTCTGATGTGCTGTCTCCTCTCAGCAGCAACTCCCCACGGGTCTTAAAACTGGCAAATGTAAAAGTCTTGTTGTCCCACTCACCGATCACTTGCTTCAGCTTCTGTTCAATATCACGCTCTTTCACAGCACTGATGCAGATATCCTGCACAAGAACCCCGCCCCCCAAATGTTTTTAAATGTTAGCAATAAAAATGCTAATGGCAAACAGATGCATATGCACTGAAAAAAACAGGATCGGTGTTTTGCACTGAACAGGACCACCTATATCAGTTAGCAAAGTTAATTCAATATATTACTCTTTAAACTTTTTAAATGTTTTCATTTCCTCCAAACAATTTTCCAAACTTGTATTTTATTTGGAATTTATTATATCAAATAAAAAAGAAAACACCATGAATTAGCAGCTAATGATTCGTTTGTACCTCAATCTCTTCTTTATACTTGAGTAGAGGAGCCTCCATTATGTTACGCAGCTTGAATGTATCAGTTTCCACCTCAAAGGTATGGCCGGTCACCTGGATACAAAACAGGACAAATTACAGCTATCATCATTATCATTAGGTTCTGGTGATGACTTGATTTCAGTCAATAACATTCAGTTGCAGTGCTACACCAGTGGCCATGTTTCACTAACCTCCGTTATCCTCTTCCAGTGCCGGGCCATCATAGCTTTGTTAGTCATGAGTTCCAGCAGGGGGCAGCACTCACTGAA